TTTGTCATCAGAGTTACAAAGACTCAATAAAGAAAAATAAATACTAATAATGATTCATTAGTCTAGAATTTGAAAATTACTTAATGGAGACAAATAAATGTTAATAATGATTCATTAACCTAGGAATTGAAAACTACTTAATGGAGACAAATAAATGTTAATAATGATCCATTAACCTCAAAATTGAAAACTACTTAATGACTGATTGTAACTGACATGTGACAACCAAGAGTCAATCAATTATGCATCCTCTTGGTCTTCCAAAGGCTGATGCCTAAGTTTCCAATTGGGCCCGTATTACAACTTGAAACAAAACCAAACTAAAACTCATTAATTGATTAACCCAAAACATAATTTGATCAACCAATTTTACAAAGGATTGAGTCCTTATTTAAACAAACTTAAAAACTGAAACAAAATGACACATTAGTCTTACTCCATTTGGGCCATGATGTAATTCACAACTTTGGTCTTTTCACCTTAAAATGTGGACTTGTATTCAAATAATATAGACAACACTTGTTGAAGAGCTTCCTTTGTTTCCCTTGCTCTAGCTTTTGTCATAGATCCTTCAAGTGGATCCTTGTCCTTACTCATGGTCATGTCCCCATCAATCTTTGACTTCAGATTGTTATTTTTCAAAAGGAGATGAGCAAAGTGAAACTCTTTCATACTTGGATTGGTGCGGAGACCAAGTGAAAAGAAATAGTACATTTGGATATTTGTTTAAATATCTAAATGCACCAATTTCTTGGTGCTCAAAAAGGAAAAATGTGTGACTCTTTTGTCTTGTGAAACTAGATACATAGTTTTGGCTGAAGCAACTCGTCAGAACTTGTGGTTGAAGGCTATGCTAGAAGAGTTGAAACAGGTTCATAAGAAACTAGCACAACTGTGTGTTGATAATAAACCAACCATGAGCTTGTCTAAAAATTCAATCTTCCGTGGGAGAAGTAAACATATAGATACTAAGTTTTACTTTCTCATGAATCAAGTGAGTAAAGGAAAACTAAATCTTGTATGTATACTGCTGTATTGAAGACCAAACAACCAATTGAAAAACTATTAAATTTGAAAAACTAAGAGGATTAATAGTTGTTGTGTCATCTAATTTTTTGGACTAGAGGGGAGTATTGTGTATAATCCAAATATAGGCAAAAAAAGGGAAACTGAAACTGTTGTTAGTATCTATTATCACAGTTAACTCAAATAAAAACCTTGTACTGTTTCATTAAAAAAAATTAAAAAAATTTGGCCTTTTTAACGTGACTTCCAATCTATCCTAACTGAAAAAGCATCATAATCTTCTTTTTGCAGCTTTCAAACATTAAAAGCTTATAGCTAGTTTTGCATTCTTATGACCCAAATGTCATAGCTTTCTCCATCAAAAATTGGAGGGGCAACCTGAGAGCAACTTATTCCAACTTCCATTTTTTAGGTCCCATAAGATGATAACTCTTATACCAATGTGCTCAGTGGCGGATCTTTATAGTAGTTAAGGGGGGCCATGACCCTCCCAAAGTTTTGTAACTTACTTGTATATTTATGATTTTGGCCTCCCCAATATTAAATATATCATAAAGAAAAAAACTGAAGGAATAAATTAAATAAAAAAGATTAAAAATAATTTTATTATCTGACCTTTCTATCTTCTATCACTTTTTCATACTCTCTCATTAATGGTAATATTTTATTAGTATTTAATTACTTCTCTAATTTCTAAAGAATATATTAAATAAGATAGGTTAAAAATAGTTCTTCATCTTCTCTCACCTTTTCATATTCTCTCACAAACGGTAATATTGATTGATTAATATTAAGTTATTTCTGTAGTTTGTATTTTCAAATTCATTGTTCGTCTCTTTTCCTCCCTCCTCATATTCCATACTTGAGATTATATTGATTGATAAAGGTACTTTTTCTTCATCTTTTCACTGCTTATTTTATTATTGTTTGTTATTTTGATTTTTGTTGAAGAATATTTGTTGTTTGAGAAAACTATTTTTGTTTTTTATAAATTTTTATGATTCTATAATTAGAAAATTAATAATAGACTCATTTTTCTCTAGATATGAAGCATAAAAGAATAGATTCATTTTTTAAAAGTGATAAAATAGATACTTGTAGAGATGAAAACCAAACAAATTCAACATCTTCTCCTGTTTCAAAGCATGATATTGGTGATCCAATTATTCAATTAGAAGAACCCCTTTCTAAGATTCATAGAATTAAAACCAATGAATTTAATATTAATTCTTTGGAGCGTGACCCAGGAAAACGTCTTCAGATACATGAATATCCTATGAATCAAAGAGATGAAATTAGAAGAGCTTATTTAAATTGGGGTCCATATCAAATACAACTTAAAAACTATCCTTTTTCTAAAGAGAAACATCCTAGGAGATTTCAATATGGTTGGTTTAAAATGTTTCCTTCTTGGTTAGAGTATTCTCCAACTAGTGATGGAGCTTATTGTTTGCCATGTTATCTATTTAGTACACTGTCAAATGGTCGTCCTGGGTTCTTAGTCATATTAGAGATAATTTTTGTTCACCACATAACAATGCAATAAAAGCATGTACAGACTTATTAAATCAATCTAAGCACATTGACAACATTATAAATGTGCAAAATTCAGAAGAAGTTTGCAAAAATCGTTTACGGCTTAAAACTCCTATTGATACAATTCGTTGGCTAGCATTTCAAGCTTGTGCATTTAGAGGCCATGATGAAACTCCAGATTCAAGTAATTGAGGTAACTTTCTTGAGATGATTAAACTTTTAGCATCATACAATGATAAAGTAGCACAAGTTGTGTTAGAAAATGCTCCTTATAATTCAAAATATACTTCTCATCATATTCAAAAGGAAATTTTGCAAATTTTTTCTAGAAAAGTAAGAAATTATATTCGTGAAGAAATTGGTGACTCAAAATTTTGTATAATTGTTGATAAAGCTCGTGATGAATCTAGAAGAGAACAAATGACTATTGTTTTGAGATTTGTAGATAAAATGGGTAATATTAAGGAACACTTTTTTGATATTGTGCATGTTAAGGGTACTACAGCTGTCACTCTTAAAAGAGAATTATGTGTTGTTCTCTCTAGACATAATCTTGATGTTTCCAATATTCGTGGGCAAGGATATGATGGTGCTAGTAATATGAGAGGAGAATGAAATGGATTACAAGCATTATTTTTTCATGATAATCCTTATGCTTATTATGTACATTGTTTTGCTCATAGATTACAACTTGCTTTGGTTGCTGCTTCAAGAGAAGTTATTCTAGTTCATCAATTTTTTTTCAAATTTGGTTTTTATTATAAATGTTGTTTGTTCATCTAGTAAACGTCATGATGAATTAAAATGTGCAAAATTAGATGAAATAGCAAAATTGTTAGAACTTGGTGAACTTGAAACTAGTAAAGGAAAAAATCAAATTGTCACTGTCACTTTAAAACGAGTTGGTGATACTCGTTGGAGTTCACATTTTCATTCCATTTGTAGTATGATGAAATTGTATATTGCATCTTGTTTAGTTCTCCAAAGAATTATAATTGATGGTTCAACTTATTCTCAAAGGGGTGATGTTGATGCTGCTTATAATATTTTGTCTGAGTTTGAGTTTGTATTGATTTTACACATGATGAAAGAAATTATGAAAATTACTGATTGTCTTTGTCAAGTTTTACAGAAACAATCTCAGGACAGGATATACATAATGCTATGCAGTTAGTCTATTCGACTAAAATTTTGATTCAAAAATTAAGAGAAGAGGGTTGGCAAGATTTGTTGAAAGATGTGATATTGTTTTGTGAGGAACATGACATTGATATTCCTAATTTTAATTCTACCTGTGTCGCACGTCATGGTCGTTCTCGACATAAAAAAGATTGTATTACAATAGAACATCATTTTAGGGTGAACATATTTTTTATTACAGTGGATAAACAATTACAATAATTAAATGATATGTTTAGTGAGAAAACAATGAAACTTTTAACTTTAAACAATGCTTTAATTCCAAATAATATTTATAAAAATTTTAACATTGACCATATATGCACACTTGTGAACAAATTTTATCCTTTGAATTTTAGTGAACAAAAGAAGATTAATTTAAAATTTCAAATTCATCATTTTATACTTGATGCTCCTAACCATCCAGATTTGAAGAATTTGTCTACAATGCTTGAATTATGTCAATATTTGACAAAAACAAGTAAGTCAGGTACATTTTACTTAATAGATCGTTTAATTCGTCTTATTTTAACTCTTTGTGTTTCTACAGCTACAACTAAGAAATCATTTTCTGCAATGAAGATTATCAAAACAAGACTGCGAAATAAAGCTGGAAGATGAAATTCTTGCGAGATAATATGATCATTTATATTGAGAAAAAATAACTCAAAACTTTAGTTCGATTCCATTATTGATGAGTTCAAACATTTAAAAGAACGAAAGACACAATTTTAAATAAATATCTTATTTTTATTTATTATTATATAAATTTTTTTATAATTGGCCCCAGACTTAAAGGTCGAGTATCTGTCTCGAATGTGCTTGATATTTGAAGATATAGAATGTTGGAGTGTGTGCAACTCTAAAATATTGATGCATAATTTATTAAGCAACATTACAGGTTTTATACAGCAAATGACTAAAATAAAATAAAGATGTTAACAAAACAACTAATAAATTAGTGCCTAAAAAATAACATATAAAACAACTTTATCCTCTCAATCAACATGACTTTTGTTTTCTTAAAGAATAACATAAAATCTTATTTGCAGTGGTTAATTTCCAATAGCCATTCAATCAGGAACAAGTTTTTGTATGAAAATATAGGAGTTATTTGTTTGATCATGAATTACATTTTGATTTAAGACAGAAGTTGTGAATGTAATAAATTATAATCAACCTTACACGGAAACACAAAACAGCAACTGTTTCTCAGATCATGAAGTAATTTCTATTTTAGAACATGAATCTTGGGAATGTTATAAATTATTCGCAAATTCTTTGACATTTTCATGAGAATTTCCACCTTCACTACTAGCTTTTACTGCTAAATTCCTCCATTGAATGGCATTGGTCTTCATCTCTTTACCTCCATCCATTATTTCCTTTATACAATGTTCTAGATCTTCTCGTTGCACAACCTTTTTCTCATCAACTAGAGCTCTAATCCCAGTTTTCCAAACATCTGAAGTAAGCTTTGCATTTGTGTTCTGGTCTGACCGACATGGTATTGCAACTGTTGGAACTCCCAAGCACAAACTTTCTAACGTGGAATTCCAGCCACAGTGTGTCACGAAACACCCCACAGCCTCATGAGTAAGAACTTTTAACTGGGAACACCATGTCACTACCAAACCCTTTTCTGTTTTTTTCTCAAAACCTTTGGGAAGTTTGGTTTCTTCAGAAGCTCTCACCACCCACAAGAAATAACTTGAACACTCTCGCAAGCAACAAGCCAGTTCTTCCATTTGCTCCTCACCAATGGAAACCAAACTCCCAAACGATACATAAACAACAGACCCTTTTGGCTTATCATCTAACCATTCCATGCAATCTTCAATCTTGAATTGTGTGAACCCATAATCTTGGTCATCTTCACATTCTTTATCTAAGAAGAAAGATGGAATGTTTGGCCCTATGGTCCTAAATTTTGGCCAAATCTTCATAAACCAATCTGTTATCTACAAATATATTTTATAGTCACTAAAGATTACATTCGAAACTCGACAAAATAAAAATTACCCAATATCTAAAAAGTGAGAATTTAGTATTACAAACAGAGAGTTATTTAGTGATCACAAATTTCCTTTAAATTTTCATCATTCAAACATGGCTTACAAATTTATAGTTGTAGTTCTGATATTTCTAACTATAAGAAAAGTTCTCAATTAATATCGTTAGAGTGTACCTTCATACAAAAACATCAAACTGAAACATTCAAGTTAAACACAATCTATGGAAATTGTTTAGCTGTTACCTCTTTATCCAGCTCATAGAATGTGTTACATAGGATCCAATCAGCTTTGTCAATATTGGAAAACTGATTCACTATCAAATGAAGCAAACCCAAATCTTCCTCAAAGAAGAAAGAAGGCATGTCCTGAAGATGAAGTTTAGGCAATGCAGGAAGGGAAATCTCATGCTGTGTGAGTGGAGCTTTCAACTTCCCCAAATGGACATGATAATATATACCATTCACAGTCATGCTTTGAGTGAGATAAGCAGCTCCAACTATCCCAAATCTCTTGGCAACATCTAGTGCCCAGTTGAAGAATGCATCATAGACAACACAATCAACATGGTCATCTTCTGATCTACCAAGTTTCTCAAGAAGCTCAGCAAAGGTGGGTGGTCCAACTTGCCAAAAGCGATCCAAATAAGCTTTGGCACCCCCAGCCTCTCTTGGTCCACCTTTGTCAAACCCATCAGAGATGGTTTCAAGAGCAATAGAAGGAGGCAAAGTTTTCAGGTTGTTGTAGTAGAAACGAGTTGTAACAAGTGTAATTCTCACCCCTTGACGTTCCAATAGCTTGGAGAATTGAAGCATCGGATTGATGTGACCTTGAGATGGATATGTCAACACCAAACAGTGAGCTCTCCTTGCCATCTTCTTCTCCTCCATCTTTTGTGATGAATCTCAACCACGTGACCTTTGGAGTGTTGAGGTGTTGATTTATTCAGAGTTAAAAACCAAGAAAAGGACATAGTGTGGACGGCAACTCTACCAAATGTTTAATATTAAATAGCTGATAGGTCCTCTTTATTATTAATTTGTAAGTATTGTGCATCGAAGGGTGATACACTAAAATATTAAGATAAATAGAACTTTAAAGATACTTATTACTTGTTAAAGAATAAAAAAAGATAATTGTATATACTTTTTATTTTATTACATAATAAATTATATTTATTTAGTAAATATGTGACAACACTCTGAAAGCTATTATTACCTAAACTTTGACAAAACAGGGTATAGTATTATGCATAGTGAATAAATAACTATTTCTAATTTTGCATTATTGTCGTTGTCATTTGTCTGTGGTTGAAAATGTGTTTCTTAAAATAATATAGTGACAAATACAACATTTTAAAACAAGTAAAAGGTATTAAATTATTTATTATCTATTAAAAAATATTAAATATTGATTAGTTTAGAGATAAAAAAATGTAGTTATAATATTTTTTTAAAATTAAACTCTAATTGAATTTAATTTTAAAATTAGTCAGTAAATTCTTGATAATTAAATTTAAAATTCAATTTCAATTCTAATTAAAAATTAATTTAACTAAAAATAATTTATAACTCAGCCAATATATTAATTAAATATTTTTATCTTTAAATTAATATTTAATAAATATTTTTTCCTAATAATGGTTCTTAAAATTTGTTAGACTTAGTGGAAAAACTATTGCCTATGAATATACTCCTTTCACGTAGATTTTTGTTTTTTTAAAATAAAAAAATAAACATCCTATGTATGATACATTATGTTTATATTTATGCAGAGTTAATAAAGAATCAGATAAGAAAATTGATCGAAATGTTTGATGACTTCAGATATATTAGAGATATTAGATACATGTCCTACAAAATAATCTCTTAATTTGACATTCAGATATTATCTTATAAAAAAAGTTTGATTCATTAATGATATTTTATTATTATTTTATTACGTAATGATCCATTTTCAGGTAATTTTTTCCTTCTTTAAAATTACATCATAATTTTTTTTATAAAACTTTTAAATTTAGATAACAACAATATTAAATATATTTACTAATTTCTATTTATATGTATATATATTAATGAATAAATAGTTTTTAATTAGACTTATTTTCAAAATTATGTTCAATGTACTTAGTCTAATTTTGAATGATATATTTATGAATTATAAATGATAATTGACTTTGAATCGAGATATTTATAATCAAACATAATCAACCTCCCACATGACTATATATATAAAATAGGATTTAATTGTACCATCATAAAAAATTTCTAATTTATTACAGGAAGCTTATGAAAGTAATAAACAATTCATCAACCTCCATGAGAAAATATAAAAGACGAATTTGTTGATGTAGTCAGACAAATTTAGATGAACCATGCAACTTTTGAAGTGATAAACTGCTGGTAAATTCTACAATATTTTCATAAGAACTTCCACCTTCACTGACAGCTCTTAGAGCTGAACTCCTCCATTTAAGGCCATTGGTTTTCATCTCATTGTCTCTGTCCATTATCTCTTCTATACAATGTTTTAGAGATTCTCGAAGCAGAACTTTTTTATCTTCAGTTGAAGTTCTAATTCCAATTTTCCAAACATCTGCAATAAACTTTGCATTTGTGTTCTGATCTGACCAAAATGGTACTGCAACTGTTGGGACTCCTAAGCACAAAGTTTCTAACGTGGAATTCCAACCACAGTGTGTCACAAAACACCCCACAGCCTCGTGAGCAAGAACCTTCAGTTGAGAGCACCATGTCACTACCAAACCCTTTTCTGTTCTTTTCTGAAAATCTTTGGGAAGTTTGGTTTCTTCAGAAGCTCTCACCACCCACAAGAAATAATAACTTGAACACTCTCTCAAACAAGAAGCAATTTCTTCCATTTTTTCCTCACTCAAGGCAACCATACTCCCAAATGATACATAAACAACAGACCCTTTAGGCTTACCATCAAGCCATTCCATGCAATATTCTTCACTCTTATATTGTGTAATTCCATAATCTTGGTCATTTTCACATCTTTTATCTAAGAAGAAAGTGGGTATATTTGGTCCTATGGTCTTTAATTTTGGCCAAATCTTCACACCCCAATCTACTATCTAAAAAAAGTACATGCTGAATTAGGGAAATGTATAAGAAATTTAAAATACACATGAAAATATATTTTGATAATCTATTTAAAGTCCTGTCAATTGAGTCAAGAATCGGGTCAAACCGTATTAATTATTTATATTTTACCAGTTAAGAGTATTATAAAATCAAATAAAAATGAAATACCTCAAAAGTAAAATAAAATCACGAAAAATTGCTATCCGACAGAGAAAAATTAGCTAAATTGTATTATTGATTATGAAAGTTGTCAGAAGTTAGGTGGTGAATTAATGTCTTGGGACTAAAATTATCGTATCTTTCAAAGATATGAATCATCATTTGAGCAATTACACTAAGAGACAAAAGTTACCCATTTTTAAAAGTTAAAACTAATTAAGATCAAGCAATCTAAGGGTCAATTTTTTCGACAAACTAAACTAGATGGAAATTAAGAATTTAATCTAACTTCTTTCAAACTTTACCTCTTGATCCAGCTCATGGAATGTGTTACACAGGACCCAATCAGCTTTGTGAATATTGGAGAACTGACCCAGAACAAAATCAAGCGAAGTGTGATCACCATCAAAGAAGAAAGAAGGCATGTCCTGAGGATGAAGTTTGGGCAAGGCAGGAAGAGAGATCTCATGTTGTGTGAGTGGAACCTGCAACTTTCCCAAGTGAAGATGGTAGTATATACTATTCACACTCATATTTTGAGTGAGATAAGAAGCTCCAACTATCCCAAATCTCTTGGCAACATCAAGTGCCCAGGGTAAACAAGCATTATAAACAACACAATCAACTTGGTCATCTTTTGATTCACCAAGTTTCTCAAGAAGTTGAGCAAAAGTTTCTGACCCCACTTGCCAAAACTTGTCCAAGTAGGTCTTTAATCCTCCAGCTTCTTCGGCGCCACCTTTGTCAAACCCATCAGAAATGGTTTCAATAGCAATGGAAGAAGCCACACTTTGCAACTTACTGTAGAAAGAAAGAGTGGTCACAAGTGTTATTCTCACCCCTTGATTTTCCAATAACTTGGAGAACTGAAGCATGGGATTGATGTGTCCTTGAAGTGGGTATGTCAACACCAGACAGTGTGGTCTCTTAGAAGAGCTTTTCTTCTCCATTTGTGTGGTTGTGGAAGTGGTGTCGGAGAAGAAAATATAGAGGGTTGATTTATTTAACGGGGGAGTGTAGGAGAAGACAATTTGTGAACGGCACATAAACCAAACATAGTTGATAATGTAACTTTTTGTTGTTAATTTGTTTTATTTATAATCCTTTTAGTACTATTTGCTTGATCCAATCGTGTAGAAATATATGTTTATGTTAGGTTAGGTGTCTGGGTCTTGAAAGTGATATCATTTAATAATCATCACTTTATCGAAATTAATATTTATTTCAAGAATTCATCAATTTCACATAATTATTAGTTTTTAAAAGTATTCTTTCTTTTAGAAAAAGTTAGTCGCACTTACAAATTATTTGTAAAATTTAAAATAATATTAATTTTTTTTAACATTTATATCTATATAATTTACATTTATTTTAGATACCGGAATAGAAAGACTTTTTTTCATAAATAATACTTGTTTTAAAAAATATTTACCCAAATAGCCCTCTCGCAACTTTATTTACACAACTAGCATGCTATTCTTGTTCACTTAATAAAATAATATTATTTCGCATAATCGTTCATCGTTCATTGTATTAAAATAATATTATTTCGTGGATTGAACTCTCGCTCAAGCGAAATAAACCTTCGCTTGAGCGAGGAAACTCGTAACAAAGGGGTAGTGCTGGGTAAATTATCGCTCAAGCGAAGGTTTTCTCGCTTGAGCGAAAAGTATGATCGACTATTATCCCATTATAGTCGATCACTTTGACATATATGACTTTAGATAGCGGTTGGCCAAATAACCGCTATCTAAAGTGACTCAAGCGAAAATCACACCGCTTGAGCGAGGACACCTGGAAACAAGGGGGACTCTCGGGTTCTGTTTCGCTCGAGCAACGCGGACTTTCGCTCGAGCGACAAAGTGATTGAAATCTGTTTCAATCGATTATAACGTATTTCAATCGATTAAAATAACTTGGAAAAATTTTGTACAGAGTTTCAATCGATTAAAACGCGTTTCAACCGATTAATACAACTTCGAAAAAGTTTGTACAAAGTTTTAATCGATTAAAACTTCTTTTTATCAGCTAAAATAACTTGGAAAGTTTTTATAAGAAAGTTTTGCAGTATATCAATCGATTAAAACACGAAACAATCGATTGAATCAAACTTAGACAAAATCTTGGATTCCAATCTTGGATTCCCTGCATTGGGTTAGCCAAAAAAGCAAAAACCATGTGACTTCATTATAAATAGACTACTTTCATTCTTTGAAGTTCTCACATTGCACACTCCTAAATCTCTGAAGCTATTTGCATTATTTCTTCTTCTTACCTTTAGTCTTCTTTGTGTTCCACACTCCTAAAATGGGTGTAGTGTCTACTATTGTCCACTATGATGGTTTCATGAACCCATGTCCCATGGAGGGAGTTACCTTCAATACTGGGACTGCAAAACTTGTTCCTTTAAAGAGAGGAATTTCTCTACAAAGGCTGAAGAAGTTGATCCACAAGAAATTGGAGAAAGAACCCCATGAAAATGTAGCAACCATCCATTTTCGCTGTCCAACTAGACTCGGAGTTGGGATCAACAACTTCATTGTTGTTGAGTTGAAAGATGATGACGACGTGGAGGCCATGTTCGATGTGCATGATTCAAACTCAAGTCTATGTGGTATTGAAATTTTTGTTTCATTTAAAACTTCTTCTTCTTCATACCCCAACACACACTCACCGTAAATTTCACCCTTACCCTACCAAGCTTTGCCATACACTCACCCGAAATACCCACACATAATGACTACATCCCTTTGACCCAACTTCTAAGTGGCCCTTCCACCAACATCAACGAAGAACTACCCACACAAGAGAACGAAATTGTTGGCCTCCCAATTGAAGTCGTTGATCCTTTTAGTGAGGATGAAGACGAAGATGAAATTCTCAGCCAACACCAAGATGATTCGAGAGGACGAACAACCACATATCCCTACACATGCACCAAACTTAATGGAACCATACAACCCACCACAACATTTTCTTAACTTTGAAAATCACATTCAACAACAAGACCCAGAGTATGGTCATGCGTTGGACAGAGAGTCTTTTGTTTCTCCGGCAGGAACTCTATTTCTTGGACAACGTTTCATAACAAAAGAACAAGTTCAAGATGTCATCAACCGTTTTCACATTGTCAATCACTGCACATACAAGGTGAAAATTTCAAACCAAAGTAGATATGTTGTTGAATGTGGTGATAACCAATGCAATTGGAGATGTCGAGCAATATTGCGTACGAGAGAGCAATATTGGGAGATTATGAAGCTTGAAGGGCACCATACATGCGTTTCGCCATTAATCAGCCAAGATCACAACAAGTTGGGATATAAAATGATTTCCCAAAAAATTGGTCAACTAATTGATGCTGATTCGTCAACACCAATATCCACAATCATAGCCCACATCCAATTAACAACGGGTTACACTATAACATATAGGAAGGCCTGGTTGGCAAAACAAAGGGCGATGGAGATCATCTACGGCAATTGGGAGGAGTCGTATAAGAAGTTGCCTTGTTTGTTACAAGCGATGCAACAATTTGTTCCGGATTCATCTACAAACTGCGATCACAACCAGACTTACCAAGGTGAAGTCCTTCAACAAAATTCAAATATTTTTAAACGTGTGTTTTGGGCGTTTAGGTCATGCATAGATGGATTTGTTCACTGCAAGCCCATTGTTCAAGTGGACGGAACTTTTTGTATGGAAAATATAGAGGTACCTTGTTGGTTGCGAGTAGCACAAGATGGCCGCAACAACATCCTCCCCATTGCGTTTGCGGTGGTTGAAGGTGAAACAAGTGATGCCTGGTTTTTTTCTTAAAAAACCTTCAAAGATATGTCACACCCCAGCAAGGATTATGCCTCATATCGAACCGACATGAATCCATTAGAAGTGCATACATGAGAAATGGAAGCGGATGGACGAGAAAATAATTCAACGCATGTCTACTTGCATTAGACACATTGCACGGAATTTTATGAGACATTTCAAAAACACCGCACCGAGGAAAGATGTTGTAAATATGGGTAATTCCTTTGCTTCAAATTTGTTTCAATTTATTCATTATATAATTGTTGCTAATAAATATTTATATTAACTATGTTTTTTTTAATATTGTTGTAGCGTATGGGATGAGCTGAACCACGATTCTACTATTATTACAACATCTTGAGGCAATGTGACATACAAGCGACTAATTGGTTGGATGAGATACCTAGAGAAAAATGGGCACTTGCATGGGACAATGGGCGACGTTGGGGCCACATGACGACCAATATAGCGAGTCTATCAACTCTGTTTTGAAAAAAACAAGAAATCTACCTATTTGCTCCATGGTCACCGCAACGTACACCCGTTGCAACAAATTTTTCATTGAAAGAGGGAGGCGGATAGATGCCCTCATCAATGCTCGGTCATGTATACTCGAAATTTTGGCCAAGAATTTAGAGGAAGCACAAACACGAGCAAACACGCACGGGGTCATAACGTTTGACAGTGTCTACCACAAAATTTGTAGTAGAAGAAACACAAAACCCGCGTGAAGTTCGACCAAGCAGGGAAGTTTGCGGTTCACCTTGATGAGTTATGGTGTGACTGTGAGAAATTCCAAAAATTTCACATGCCTTGTTCACATGTTCTTGCTGCATGCAAGCATGCACACCATGACTTCAACAACTATATTAATTCGAGTGTATACCTTACAACAAGTTTCAAAGGTATACGGAACACAATTTGGGTTATTGCGAAATGAAGAATATTGGCCAACATACACAGGACCTACTTTGTGTGCAAATCCGGAAATGAAAAGAACTTCAAAGGGTCGACCGAAATCAAGTCGTATAAGAACTGAGATGGACATTACGGAACATCAAAGTAGGATTAAAAAATGTTCATATTGTCATACCCTGGTCATAGCGAGAAGAACATGTCCCAATATTGCATGTGCATCTACTTCAGTATCATTAGATTGTGTTAGTTAAGAAATGTCTCAATGTATGAAACTTAGGAGTTTTTCAATTAATTGAAAATGATGAAGATCTTATTGAATCATTTGATATAACGAAGATCTTATTCAATGTATGTTTAAAAAGTTCAAGCAAACTGATTTTAAAGAGTATTTTCATAAGCTGCTGCATTAATTAATCTGTTGAAAGTTTGTTTTAATCTGTTGAAATAGCCGTTTCAATCTGTTAAAAGTCCTTTCAATCCATTGATACGTTCTTGATTCTTTAACGATTTGTTTTAGCTGATACTTACAACGGTTATATCAATTAAAACACTTTACAAAACTTTTCTAAGTTTGATTCAATCGATTGTTTCGTGTTTTAATCGATTGATATACTTGCAAAACTTTCTTATAAAAACTTTCCAAGTTATTTTAGTCGATAAAAAGAAGTTTTAATCGATTAAAACTTTGTACAAACTTTTTCGAAGTTGTATTAATTGGTTGAAACGCGTTTTAATCGATTGAAACTCGTACAAAATTTTTCCAAGTTATTTTAATCGATTGAAATACGTTATAATCGATTGAAACGATTTCAATCACTTTGTCGCTCGAGCGAAAGTCGCGTCGCTCGAGCGAAAGCAACCCGAGAGTCCCCCTTGTTTCAGGTGTCCTCGCTCAGCGGTGTGATTTTCGCTTGAGTCACTTTAGATAGCGGTTATTTGGCCAACCGCTATCTAAACTACTATATTAGATAGCGGTTGGGCAAATAACCGCTATCTAATGCGATAGTTTAGATAGCGGTTGGCCAAATAACCGCTTATCTAAAGTCATATATGTCAAAGTGATCGACTATAATGGGATAATAGTCGATCATACTTTTCGCTCAAGCGAGAAAACCTTCGCTGAGCGATAATTTACCCTGCACTACCCCTTTGTTACGAGTTTCCTCGCTCGAGCGAAGGTTTTCTTCGCTGAGCGGAGTTCGATCCATGAAATAATATTATTTTAATACAGATGAACGAGTTGCGTGAAATAATATTATTTTATTAAGTGAACGATGACATGATCTTAGTTGTGTAAATAAAGTTGCAGAGAGTGTTATTTGGGTAAATATTTTTCAAAACAAGTATTATTTATGAAAAAAAGTCGAATAGAAAGGCGTGATTTTAAAATATAATTAAAGATAAAATAAGATGGTTTGGGTTACTTCAATCTCATGATATATTAATCGAGTAATTTAAAAATTTAATTAAATAATAATTTTTAAAATATAATTATATAATAAATTTATTAATAATATTTTTTATAAAAAATATTATTACCATAATCAAATCGTTAATATAAAATATAACATATTAATAAAAAATGAAAATGAAAATATAACAAAATAATTATTATCTAAAATTAATTAGTTTTTATAAGATAATGAGAAAAAAATAAAAAATATTTTATTATTTTATAAAGAAAACTATTTAAAAAAATTACTATGAATTAAAAGACTAAGTTAATTTTTTTATTTTAAAATTTTATATTAATTTAATTTTTTTTAAATAACACATCGATTTTATAAAATTCAATTTTATACTGTGTAACAGTTAGTTTAACAAAACTAGAAATCGCAGGTCACTCCGTTCTCAGTTCTGTGTGATACCTCTCCATTGCCGTTTTGGTCCTTCCTTCGCTTTCAAACCCTAATTTGCCCCTCAGATCCCAAATTGGGAACACCAAATGGCAGCAATGTCCGATTCGGTCGGTCCCCTCGCTCTTCTCACCCTGGCGTTGACCTTTAGCCTGTCCAATTCGATGCAGTTCGAGATTCATTCGGGTCACACCAAGTGCATTTCAGAAGACATTAAGACCAATGCGATGAGTGTGGGAAAGTACAGTGTCGTTAACCCCCACGAAGGGAACCCAAAGCCCGATTCGCACAAGGTCATTGTCAAGGTAACTTCGTGATTCAATCACTACCAAAACCTTTCTTTGACCATGAAAAATGCACTCTTCCAAGGCTTTAAATTGCAAAGATGAATGTAGCTAATAGGACCATAATTGCAGTTACAGACACTCGAAGACCTTGAGTTTGCAATCAAAATCGCGGTTGTGGACTGTTTTTTAAAACCTCGTACTTTCCAAATAAAAGGGACAGCGTTGAATCTTAAATGGGACAGCTGTAGAATGTTTCCTAGTTGTTTGTGATTTGTTTTGTTGTATAGGTTTCTGAATTTGGTATGTGTTATGATTGTTGGAATAATGGGGTTCTGTGGTTTGTTATCAAAGTGGGTTTGACTGAGATTGTGTGTGTGTGTGTGTGTGTTTTCTGCAAGGTATCATCGCCTCATGGGAACGTTTATCACTTTGGGGATCATGTGGATTCTGGTAGTTATGCATTTACGGCATCTGAGGCTGGTGACTACACGGCTTGCTTTTGGATTCCGGATGGCAAGAATGCACCGCCAGTGGTGACTGTTGAACTTGAGTGGAGAACTGGGGTTGCTGCCAAAGACTGGTCGAAGATTGCCAAGAAAGGGCAGATTGAAGTAAGTCGTTTTCTTAAGTTCCCCTGACTTAGCATTTGTTTGTGTATGTGATCAATAGTTTTTCTTTTAACAATATACCATTTTAACTCTTTCTGTGTTTTTGCATTTTTGAAAAACCTGTGTTGCAATCCCAAGCCTGAACACTGAGGAGGGTTGTAACAGGATTTAGGCAGCTTTCTGCAATGTAAAATTTTTGGTGAATGTCTTTCATACTGATCAACAATGTAATTCTGCTAAACTTTATTTGAAACCATTGAGAAACCTTGCTCTCTTAATTGTTTCCCCCCTAAAGTTTAGGTTTATGAACTCATTTAGTGAATTTACTTGTAATTCCCTTAGATATGTTGGCTAAATGGTATTTCTTTCCTGTACATTAAATATTCCCTGTGCCAAAATAAGTTATACCGGGCTCTTTTAATGTTACATAGCTGATATATATCGCTAACTTTTGCAGTGAAGTAATGCACACATAATTTATTGTGTGCTCTTGTCATGGTTTTGGACACTTGCAGTATTATTAACTAATGCTATTCTTCTGTCTTTCCATTGTATCTGGAATATGATACAGTATATCTTTGTCTTGATTTTATTGGACATTTTTGTGATGTGGATAATATATATAGTTACAATATTGTAATGTTTATTTATCCCTTTTCAGTCTAACCTATTTTACAAGCTATTTTTTCTATGCTGCAATTCATAACTATCAATCCAGGGTAGCAGCATGAAATGGCCACCCTCCGAAAACTCTATGGCAGTATAAAGGAAAACATTAACATTCAAAAACTAAAAAAAAAAAGTTACAGAAGTTCATGATAAATAAATAATAACTCAATTTACATAGAATCACCATCAATCTGCCAGCAATAGGAGCGTACGAATGATGCCAAAGAATGAATAGATCAGGGAGAAATTAATTGAAAATAAAAGAAGAACACATTAGATAAAAATTAGGAGAATGTGAACAATGATGTATGAAGGAAAGAGGAGCTGAACACATTTAATCACACACACAAAGAATAGCAAGAATGTAGACTTTAAAAAGTGTGAAGGAATTAATGTCAACCCAAAGGTAATCTTTAGAGTGAAAAACCGATGAAGAAGGGCTTCAAATCCTTTGATGTTTCTAAATCAAAAAATGCTTCAGAGAGTGAGGGAGAAATCACAATCTCCCCCAAAAAAAAACTTAAAAAACACTGTTTAAGCCCCAAAACGGGTTTCATAATTTCATCACTGGACTGCCATTATGTGCATCAAAACCTGCTCTGCAGTTTGTATCTTGTGGTGGCCTAGGGGACACACTCCATTACTCTATTGTAAAGTCATAATGGCACCTTCATTAAATATAGAATATATGCATGTAAAATGGAATTTTCTGAAATTCTAGTTCTTGTTGTATTCATAGAGAAAATCAAGGAACTAGTATAAACCTGTCTGAGAAAGGATGTACCAGTAACCCATATTTAGCTTTATACTACTCTTTGGATCCATTCTATTTCCTTTTCGGTGTGTATCTTCTTGCTTAAGACGTCAAAACCCCCAATTATGAACATTTATTATTTTGTCATTGTTCATTTGTGTCTTTGATTGCTATTGTTCCGTGCTTAGTTCCTTCCTACTAGATTTTATGTGAATATACACAAGGTAGTATATTAATCTAAATACCATCCTAATTCTTCACATTTGTAAGCTATAGGGATAGTAGCGGTTGCTGTTTTGTAGATATTTATAGGTGACTTGGTCTTGTATGTTTATTGATATGTTGTGTTTTCCCCTGTTGTCTAGGTAATGGAATTTGAGTTGAAAAGGCTATATGATACTGTCCTATCCATCCATGACGAGATGTTTTATCTTCGAGAAAGGTATTAATGCAATGACATCTGCCAACAAGCTCTTGAATTAGAATATAATGGTTATCCAAATGATGTTTTGATGGAAAAGATTATTTGTTTTGTTTGTTCTAAAATTTTATTAATGGAAGAAAAATGATTTAGCTGTTAGGTCAGAAGAAATTGGAATCTTTTATTGTGCAGCTATGTGTATATTCCTCCCAACTTTTCCATATATCATCTGGAATACATATCTATGGTTACTATAAGCCTCACATAAACATTTTCAATCCTCTTTACCATCCAAGAGTGATCTACTACACAAATTTGCCTTCCCCTGATTGAGAGAGATAGGGATTCCCTGGACCTAATCAATAAACTAGACAAAAAAACTGTAGATTATTTATGACATTAATTTTTCTCCCTTGCTTGATAAAACCTACATTGTTCTCTTTCGTTAACTACATTGTATTTTCCAATCATTTAATGCGCTGGAGTGGACCAGAAATTTTTCTGTGTTATGTTATGGCTCCAATGAATTAACTTCTTTGCTTAATGCTGTATGGTTTTCTTAAGAATGATATGCAAAGGAAGCAAGCAAGCAGTTGTGTATATAACTGATGACAAGCTTCTATTTTTAATGTTTTAAGTTTTGGCTTTACATAGTTATGCATATTGCAGCATAAGAGTTGCATTCATTTTAAAGGTGTTTTTCACTGAATTTTGCTGACCTTTTCCATGTGGCTGATATAGGGAGGAAGAGATGCAAGATCTTAACAAAGCAACTAATACCAAGATGTTTACCTTCAGTTTCCTTTCGATTGCGGTTTGCTTGTCTGTGGCTGGTCTGCAAATATGGCATTTGAAGACATTCTTTGAGAGGAAGAAGCTCCTCTAAGTTCTTCGCACAAATTTTGTTCATTTTGCTTAATTTTTTAATTTCCTGTTGCCTGGTTGTTCCTTGTGTATCCCAGTGTATGATTATTTTATTCTTCACTTTTTTACATTTCATGTTAATTAGAAATATATGTCCATCGCAAGTCATGCTAAATGTGTGTTACAATTATGAAATGGTATTAACTTTAGAATAATAGTTTACCTTTCTCTGCAGTCTCTTTAATTTGTAATTTGAATGGTTATTCTTTATCCACTCAATCTGAACACTGGAATGTTAATACTTGTTGATAAAAGCCCATGAAAATCTCCTTCAAAATTCAAACGGTTTGGAATTATTTGTATCTTGACTTCTGAACGAGCATGTGAATATAGGGGGATAAAGCATGCTACTTGAATATTATTTGATTTAGATTTTTCTGAATTAATGTTAACATTTAAAAAACTCTTTATGGAAACATTTAAAAAGTGAATAGAGCAAAATCACTCGGCGAATATTTGCTCCTTAAACTGACGACACACTTCTGCTTATAACACAAACCTGTTATTTTGACTTATCCAACTTACCAAGTATAATGTCAAGGTTCAAATCTTGACACCTAATTAACCTCATTAATTAGAAAGAAAATTGACACGTTGTAGGACGTCCAAACGCATTCAATCTTTTGGTAGTGGATATAAATTAACACAAACTCGAACATTATATTATTACAACACAAAAGCCAAAGGACCTCAGATTTAGTTTAGACCAACAGTGCTTAAAGCTCAAGACATCATCATAGTAATAGACTAAACACGCTGGATAATGCTGTCAACCCTTTTATTTAATAGGTAACTATGGGATGACTTTCATTCACACAGCAATCACTGGCATTTTGATTACTCATCGTCATAACTCTTGTAATGGTGATGCTTGTGATGATGCTTCTTCCTACCATCATCATCATCCGAGTTATCTCCCTGCAATAGCAAAACACCATCCAGCTTCAATAGAAGAGTTATGATGATATTCACAACTATGATGATATTCACAACTATTAGGTGGCATTTTATTAGGCTATTTTTGGATAAAAATTGGAAATATGCTATTGGAAATTGAAATAAAAATTCCCAAATTTCAAGGCACAAACATATGTGTAAGAATGTGTTGCTATTAAATATATCATGTTTAGTTCTCGAATTTCACTCAGACAGTGTATAGCTTTTTTTATGTATACTCAGTGATCATATACATCAAATAATAATAATACTAAAATCTTCAACAAATACATTCAGTTTCCCTAGAACTTTCAAACAAAGGAATGGAAACTTACTTCTATTTCATCATTATATATCCAATTAATGATATTGCAATTTTATCCCATTCAATCCAATTCCATTGCATACCATCTGACATCACAATCTGCTCCAGTGCACCCATTACTATTTTCTAACATGAAATTAATTAAAAAATAAAACTGTTGATGGCAAAATGTTGTTTTGGAGAAAATAGTCAGAATTCGGTGGAAACAGGCCATAATACAGATTAAATGCTGAGAAAGTGAGACTAGTTTTATAAGAAAAATGTAACATTTTAACTTATATTTAGTGAAGTTACTCATGTTTCAGGTCAGCCTTAGCACCCACTGATCCTTCTTTTCATGCATTCATTAGAAAGCAAGGTCCAAAATCTTCATGACCGATTAAAACGCAACAACAAGGATCTATGTATATAACAATGCATCAAACTAATCCACTCTATCATGAACAAGAAACGATGCAAATAATTCTAAATACAGACAAAAGGTTTGTTTTGGAACGTTACAATAATGAAGCAAATCAAACTTTTGCACAACCAAATCCATAAAACTAGCAAGGTACATATTGTAGTTTCAATACCATAAAGGACAAAACTGAGGTCCAGTTTCGTATGTAATTTCAATGTTGTTTTCTAATCAGAATTGAAGTTCTGTTTCTGTAATTCACGTAATAAAAATTTGAATTGAAGAAAATAGGTTTACTAACATGAAACTCTAATTCTAACAAAAGAACAATACCAAGAAGACATAAGGAAACTCCAATTCTAACAAGAGAACACCACCAATAAGACATAAGAAATTGCATCTAAATTTGTCCTATGAGAAATCAAAAGATATATGAAAAGCAATTAAAATTTACACAATAGAACTATATATCAATTAGTTCAAGCAATTACACCATTGAAATGCACAAACAATATAATTTCTGAATCATACATATAATTCAAATCATGTGAGGAGTTCTACTTGCAATGGAAAATAAACCATCTTACTTAAGTATTAGAGTACACCAAGTTACCAATTGGTGATTTTAATTTCAATACAACATCAAAATAATTATAAACTAATCAGAAATCACTTTTAAGTATGCCTTCTAAGGTAGTACTGAATAAACTTATCTGCGTATATGACAATTTGTGATTAGATAGCAAAGTAAAATCTCTCTGTAATAGCTATATATACTCATTAGTTAAAGGAAAGGAGGAACTCACATATTTCTTGCGTCCATAGCCCTTATCATCATCATAGCTAGGCTTGCGGTACCCCTCCTCCTGAGGTGGACGCCCATAACCATACTCAACCCCTCCTTGGCTCTCATAGTTGCTCGTCCCGTAGCTAGGTTTCTGCTCATACTCACTACTCCCTCCATAACCATACCCACTCCCCTGTTGCTGTTCCACCCCATACCCACTACTCTTCCTTCCACCATATCCAGATCCATATTCACTCTCCTCTTTCCTTCCACCATACCCGGATCCATATTCTGATTCTTGCTTTCTTCCACCATAACCGGATCCATATTCGGTCTCCTCCTTCCTTCCACCATACCCGGATCCATATTCTGATTCCTGCTTCCTTCCACCATATCCAGATCCATATTCTGATTCCTGCTTCCTTCCTTCATATCCTGACCCATATTCAGATTCTTCCTTCTTGCCACCATACCCGGATCCATATCCCGACCCGTATTCAGATTCTTGCTTTCTTCCTCCATACCCTGATCCATATTCAGATTCATCCTTTCTCCCACCATACCCAGATCCATATTGAGACTCCTCCTTCCTTCCACCATATCCTGACCCATATTCACTTTCTTGCCTCCTACCACCATACCCGGATCCATATTCCGACTCCTGCTTCACACCATAACCAGACCCATATTCCGATTCCTCCTTTCTTCCTCCATAACCAGACCCATATCCAGATTCCTCCTTTCTCCCACCATAACCAGACCCATATCCAGATTCCTCCTTTCTCCCTCCATAACCAGACCCATATTCCGATTCCTCCTTTCTCCCTCCATAACCAGACCCATATCCAGATTCCTCCGTTCTCCCTCCATAACCAGACCCATATCCAGATTCCTCCTTTCTCCCTCCATAACCAGACCCATATTCTGATTCCTCCTTTCTCCCACCATACCCAGACCCATACTCAGTTTCCTCCTTTCTCCCGCCATACCCGGATGAACCGTATTCAGACTCCTGCTTCCTTCCATACCCGGACCCGTATTCCGACCCTGATCCCCCATACCCGGACCCAGCAGCGGGATTGAAGCCTGCAGGTGCAGGCCTAGGTTTGGGGCGAGAGTAGCTGCTATACTCGGTGGCGAGGGCTTCATCACCATAAGCAGAGGGTTCAGCGTTGGACGTGTATTGGGGACGATTGTAGTCGAACCTGTCGCTGTCGGAGGAAGAGGCTCCGTGGGGGTAGCAGGTCTCTTCGGAGGGAGGGATGGGGCGGCCGTAGGTGAGGTTGATATCGTAGCCGCCGCCGTAGGGGGTGGGGTCGTACTCGTCGAAGTCGTCGACTTGGTCGCTGTCGCCGTGGCCCCTTGAAAAGAACGACATTGTTCACTCTCTCTGAGTTGGGGATCGCGCAATTGGAAAGTGGAAACAGTGATTGACGATGATTCTGGATCCGAGGTGCTGCTTTATGCGAAGATGGTCGATCATCAAAACGACATCGTTGGAGGAGTCGTTTTTGCTCTGATTATTTTTATTTCGTGGACCCCACACGTTTCTTACACAAAACTAACACATTTGTCAACGTCCCCAGATATTACTTGTCAGTGGACAATTTTTTTATGGAGAACAGAGAAATAAAAAAGAAATAAATAAATTTTTAAAGTTAAAATTAATAGATTTATAAGTCAAAAAATTAGTAATTTCAGTTCTTATAAAAATTTAATTTTGACTTTTGATTTTAATTTTTAATTTTTATCAAAATTGTAGTCTCTTAATTTTGATTATTTAAAATTTTGAAAAACAGTCTCTATTTTTATAAATATAATTTATGTTTATTTAAATTAACAATTAGCCTATTAATAATTAAATCTAAATATTAAATAAAGATTAAATTATTAAAATTAAGAGATCAAATTTATGTAAAGATAAATTTTTAATCAAAATTATAATTACTTAAATTTTAAGATATTAATATGAAAAGAAAAAGAATTAACAATCAAAATAAAAGATTTTATAAAATATAGACATCAAAATATATTCATGTGATATTCTTCTTACCTTAAAAATATTTTCGAATGAAAATTATATCATAAAGTTTTAATAATTAATATTCTAAAATCGAAAATCATGATGATGAATATTTAAAACAAAAAATTTAATATTTGATCAAATATAAAAATTACATTCTTATTTTTACATAGAGCATCGATGTTCATTATGAAATAAAAATATAATTTCTTTCATTCGTATATCTTAATTCTTGATTGAAGAGTTACATTCAAGTATGTTAATAAATCTCACATCATTTAGAAGTTAAGATCAATGATCGTTTATATACATCATCTTCTCTCAATACACCAATATATTTATTAAGAACAAAATTATGATGAATAAGAGTTTTAAAATAAATCATACATTAGACGTGGTAATTGCAAAATTACTAAGAAAAATTTGGTAAGAAAATATTAGTAAAATTAATAACTTTATCTTAGAATACAATTTGTAAAATAGGTGCAATGCTCTCAAACAATTTTGAGTAAGATAAAATTTATTTATTTCATGACTCTATTCTTTACAAAAGTCTCATTATATCTATATGCAAAGTTAAACCAATAAGTTGTTGTATACATATTTAGTTTCAAATGTTTATCCCAATAAGTTTTCATAATATTTATGAATCATTGATAAAGATATTTTTTATACTTACATTTTCTTAATAGTAATTTTTATCATTTACACACATTCGGACACACATTCAAGAAAAGGTATTTCATCTTCGTTAACAATTCTTAATAAGCAGATAAATAGGACTTATAACCTTTACAATCTTAAACCTTTAATCCAAAACTTTTGATTTAAAAAAGTACCATATTATAATTTTTGTCAATATGTATCGAGTTAAATGTTTGTCCATAATTAAGGTTTGCAAATCATTTTTGTGATGATAAATATTCTTTAATATAATGAAGGTAGTTGCAAATCTAGTCCAACTTGGATAGACAATTTCTTCCCACCTTTCTCTTTTTTTACCAAAACAAGAATATAATATAATGGTATACAAAATCAATTATCTTTAAGACTTTCTTGACAAAATCAAAATGTAGCAAGTTAACAATGTTCTTTAATAGGATATTTAAGTAATAAGTAAATAAATGATGTAATATTTTTCATATATTAATTTACCTACAACTACATAATTTATTTCATTATAAGTTAAAATTTAAACAACATTTTGAATTCCTACTCATTCAATAACTTTCGATAACAAATTCCATAATGTCATAACATCTTTTACAACATTTGATGCATCAACAAATCTTACAAATGAAATGTCTACAACATTGCCAATAATAATAAATAAAAAAGTTGTTAAAAATATACAAAGAAGTAAATAAATAATTAGTACTTTACCAATAGGACAATAAAATAAAGTTAATCAAAATTCATTATCTTTCATCAATCCTTGCATCATCCGTTACAATTGTGTATTTACTCTTAGCTTAATGTTATTATGACTCAATCTTTCAATAAATTAAGTTTAAGTTCACGAATAAAATAAACATTGAATCTCAAAGCTAATGCCACCTATTTAACTTAAATCAGATTCAAAATATGGTAAATTGATTACATTAAATAAAATGTTACTTGCAAATACACTTAGAGCATTTGTCATGATCCAATAATAATCCTTAAAGCAAAGTAACTACTAACATTCCTTTTTCTTTTGTTTTCAATAAATTTAGTCTTATTCACGTTCTTTTTTATTTCAACCTTTTGTACTTCATATTTACTAATATTCTAATATTATTGTTATACGTGTCATTTATCTTGATCATCTTTTCTCCTTTATTTCTTTTAAAAATGGTTGAAATTAAAAATAAATATACTTATATTTTCTATTTTCTTGTATGTCTACATCATACTACTTCATTTTATTTATACTCCCTCTTTTATAAGAATTAAGAATATGTAAACAATATATTTTTTTTATAAGAATTAAGGATATACAAACAAGTATACATATTATTTTTTTCATATTTTATTGAATATAAAATAATCTCAAGGAGAATTTATGAATTATAAATGAAGTTATAATAAATTGCATATTAACAATATTTTGACAAATATTATTCACATTTGAATAATTCTTGATTTCACAGACAATAACACAATTTCAATCCATATATTTGTTGCATCATAAGAAGAGAATGAATTGGATTGAGTTTTTACTTGTCTTGTCCTAAATTTCCAAAAATAGATATATTTTCCAAGTTTTACACCATATAATGAAAACATTTGTTTTCAAAATTTAGTTTGGTATCACATGAAAAATTCTGTTACACACAAGTGATACAAGATCAAGAGTGACAATTTTAAGATCAATTTTACTGTTATTTTATCAGCTTTTATGAGATAGATAAATTCTGAAAGTTTTGCTATAATTTTGAAACTAATTACACTATTTTATTTTAACATATTAAATACAATACTTCACATATGTAAATTTCACATTTTAGATTTCATATATGAATCCTTAAAAGCTACAATATCAAAATTAATGTTAAGACAACTAATTGTTGCTTCCACTGTTCAAAATGAAGTTTGTTATATAATATATATTCAATGAGAATCATGTCAAAATTATAGGATTAATTAAAGAGATAGAGACATTTTAATAATTTTTGTGTCAGAGTTGATAAAAAGATAATAGGTGTTATGTCATTTTAATAATTTTATTCGGTCTTCTATCTAGTGACTTGTAGCCATGGCAATGAATAATGTTTGAGTTGGGGTATTAGGATTAACTTTTAAACTTTCTTCTTCATTTCATTTTATGTTAAAAAAATAAATTTTAAGAAAATAATAATAAAAAATTAATTCATTTAAACATTATTAATATAAGTATGTATATGAGAGAAAAATGAAAATTAAGGATAAATTTTAAAATTTAGATTAAATTTGAATATATGGAGAAGATGAGATATAAATTTGGGTATCCATTTCTTCTCCAAATCTAATTTTTGTAATTAGAATAATTCAAATATAAATATTTGTATAATTTTGTAGTTTTGGTAGAAAATGAGATTAAGTGTGGTTCATAATATAGTTAATATTAATTATATCATTTCCTTTAGATGTAGGATAAATTTTTTGTTTTTTAAAAAATAATGTAAAATTTGAAATAAAATAAATTTTGTTGCTAATTGTTTAAAAAGAAACCCTATTAAAAGTTTTATAAATTAATCATAATTTATATAGAAAATAATTTGTTCTGTTATTTTATTTTTATAAGAAATTTGTTTTAAAAAAGGAAATTTTTGCATGTAATATATATATATATATATATATATATATATATATATATATATATATATATATATATATATATATATATATATATGCCGACATCCTTAACTGGATAAAATTCTGTTGTAATTTATAGATATTGTAATAAGAATTTTACCTTAATATAATTTCCAAGAAAGATTCATCACTGTATATCATCAATATAAAATTTAAATTCTCATAAGAAAAACTTTTACAAAACTGTATTTAAATTTTGTTCTTTTCATAATTATTAGATAATGAAAATAAATAAATAAATAAATAGAAATACGTAAGAATATCATTGCACTTTGTTTGAATAATATTTCTCAGGTGTGGAGAGACATGCACGAATCATCTTTTTATAAGAAGAATCAATACGTTGTTGGTATATAATATATATAATAGTAATGCAATTGGACACGATGCTTGGAACATGCAAAGAATAAAGCAACGGTTGTTGTTAAGAGTGGACAGGAAGAAGAGGGTAACAATGGCAGCTTTTGTGTTAACTGTGTCACAACACGGAACCGGACAATACCGGACGGTGCAGGAAGCCATAGACGCCGTGCCCCTCGGCAACACTCGCCGGACCGTCATTCGGGTGTCGCCGGGAACCTACCGGCAGCCCCTTTACGTGGCAAAGACTAAGAACTTCATCACCCTCGTTGGCCTATGCCCTGAGGACACTGTGCTCACTTGGAACAACACTGCCACCTCAATTCAACACCACAAGGTAATATATTCGAGATTGTGTGACTAGAAAATTAATTGAGATTAAGGTGATTAATTTGGAAGATTTAGTAAGTTTTTCATAATCTATACCTTTTGGGAATTGGGTCTGTGTCAAAATTCAATTTTTTGTTTTGTTGTTTTTTTGCAGGATGCTAACATGATAGGGAGTGGAACCTTTGGATGTGGCAGCACCATTGTGGAAGGGAGTGACTTTATTGCTGAGAATATTACCTTTGAGAATTCTTCCCCTCAGGTAACGAGGATTTTGCTACTTTAAGATGGGTAGGGTACAGTTATGGTTATCTTTCATAGACTTCACAGTCAATAGTTGTAGGCACTTATCAAAAAATGAAAAATAACATTTTTTTAAACCAAATATCTTATACGGATAAAAATTAAAGAGATTACAAATTAATTAACTATTTTACCTTATGTAGAAACTAATTTTAATTTAGGATTTTTTTCAACTAATTTTCATCTTAATAATCTGTGCAAAGAGAAAAGAAAATGAAAAATAAGTTACATTTTGTAATTTATCATAAAATACTTTCATAAGCTGGACAAATTTTAGTTTCTTTGTCATTGGTTTGGACAATTTAGGTAGTCAAATGTAATTATTGGAATGAAAAAGGTTGTTGATGAAGGAGTTCATTATTCAGAAACTTTCAAATTTTAACACTATTGTTATGTTTAAAATATGAAGGAATTTTAGCACAGAGACCTTCTGCACACTGTTCTTTTGTTTCCCTCTTTTACCTAGCAGGGTGCAGGGCAGGCAGTGACACTCAGAGTAACAGCAGATCGTTGTGCTTTCTATAATTGCAGGTTCCTTGGGTGACAGGTGCTTCACTGTCTTCATATTTTTATTCTGAGTTTGATTTTTGAAGTTATGTGTGCATGATGTATCCTTTATAGTGTGTGTTGTGTAAACATAATAAGATCTTCAATTAACAAGAGGCCATGATTGTTAGGCTAGATGGTTTTGTACACCATTATCCTTCTGTTTCATTTGAGGAAAATCTGAGGTACCAAGGTGATAAATAAACTTATTTTGTGATTAGTGCAGGACACACTGTACTTACATTATGGAAAGCAATACTTGAAAGATTGTTACATTGAAGGAAGTGTGGACTTCATTTTTGGTAATAGTACTGCACTCTTGGAACATTGTCACATCCATTGCAAGTCCGCAGGGTTTATAACTGCACAGAGCAAAAACTCTCCACAGGAAAAAACTGGTTATGTATTCCTGAGGTGTGTGATCATGCCTAATACTTACAACATCATCTTCCCACATAATATTTTTTTTTAGTCATTGTAACTTGTTTAACAAGGAAAGAGACATTTCCCAATCATCTTGTTTCCCCTACAATACAACAGTGTTAGTACAACAATCAAGCCTCAATAGACAATTTCAATCAAACAGGACCCCCAACCAAGAGCCCAAAATATTAAAACTGAATAATGGATAACTCTGCATTTTATTTCTGCATGCAATATCTCAGGATTCAACAGTTCAAATGAGAATCAATAATACAAGCAACTCGAATCTCTAGGCTTCCGTAAATATCAGAATCTGCTCCTCTTCAACGTCATACCGCATAATAACTGCCTCCTTTACACGTAGTCCTTCCATTTAATATTCTCTTTCCTGGTTCTACCACTTTTGCGCACGTCCTCCGCCTTTTCATCTGTTGACACGTGGTCATTACTAATAACAACTTCGCTCACCTCATTGTTTGTTACATTACTCCCCCCTATAAAAGCAACCTTGTCCTCAAGGTTGAAAGTTGGGTACGCTCTTTTCATTTCATCGACTTGCTCCCATGAATTATCCAATTCTAAACCAGAATCCCATTGGACCAACACTTCAGACACCGCCTTGCCATTTCTATTTACCACACGGGTATCCAAAATTCGATGTGGACACATTACTGGTCCCAATTCATTTGTTGTCAACGGTAAAGGAAAGTATGGCTGATTATGATCTCCCCTAAAGAGTTTCAACAAAGAGACATGAAACACGGGATATATTTTAGTATATTCTGGTAACAGAATTTTATACGCTACTTTGCCAATCTTCTCAATGATTTCAAATGGTCCAAAATACCGCAAGCTCAACTTTTGATTCTTCCTTAAAACTACCGAATGTTGCCTGTAGGGTTGTAGTTTAACCAAAACTCTATCCCCCACTTGGAACTGCACATCTCTTCTACATTTATCGGCCTGCAACTTCATATAATTTTGTGACTGGTGTAATTTGGCTTTAAGCTTAATTAAAAGCTCATCTCTGGCTTGCAAAGACTCTCTAAGATCCGGAGCATCATTATTGTTATATTCATACCGTAATATAGGTGGTGGTAATTTTCCGTAAACAGCCTGATACGGGGACATGGCGATACTTTGATGAAAGGAGGAAATATACCAAAACTGAGCCCATGGTAACATGTCGACCCAATTTTTAGGATGCTCAAAAACAAAACACCTTAAATACATCTCCAATGTTTTGTTTAAATTTTCGGTTTGCCCATCTGATTGTGGATGGTACGCAGATGACATGGCTAAATTGGTACCTTGAGCTTTGAATAGCTGCTTCCAAAAGTTACTGATAAACACCCGATCTCTATCCGATACAATTGTTTTTGGAAACCCATATAACTTGACTATGTTTTCGATAAAAACTTATGCCACCAACTTGCTGTTAAAGCTAGGTTTCAGTGGTATAAAGTGTGCAAATTTAGAAAGTCTGTCTATAACCACCATAATGTTAGAGTAGCCGTGTGACAAGGGAAGTGAGGTGATAAAATCCATTGCGATGTCTTCCCAAATCAGTTTTGGTATCGGAAGTGGTTGAAGTAAACCCGCAGGCAAGGACTGACTTGCTTTTGCTTGCTGACATATGGTACACTCTTGTACAAATTTTCGTATATCCTCTCTCATTTTCGGCCAATAAAGTTGAGCACTAATTCGTGCCACAGTACGATGAATACCTGCATGACCCCCAATTTTAGACGAATGAAATTCAGTCATAATCATCCTTATTAACTTTTCCGTTCGAGGAATCATAATTCTTCCCTTCCATGTAAGAACCTCTTTGTGTATTGCATAGTCGCCACTTCTTCCAGCATTCATGAGACAATCCTTATATATTTTCATCAAGTGATTATCCTGCTTTGTGGCCTCTGCTACTGCCGTTAACCACTCCTGTAAGGGCTCAGACCACGCCATATGAAAACTTCTAGATAATGCATCAGCTGGAATGTTTTCCTTTCCAGGGGAGTATTGAATTATAAAATCATACCCCAAAAGTTTTGGAAGCCATTGCTGCTGCTCCGGTGTTTGAAGCCTTTGATCCAACAATTCCTTAAGGCTTTTCTGATCTGTTTTAATAATGAATTTGTGTCCCAACAAGTAGTGTCTAAACTTAGCCATGGATTCAGTAATAGCATAGAATTCTCTAGCATATGCTGATTGCCTTTGCATCCTTGCTGATAATTTCTTTGAAAAATATGCAATAGGATGTTTGTTTTGGCTTAACACCGCACCAATACCCAAACCAGAAGCATCTGTTTCCAATATAAATGTTTCAGCAAAGTTCGGAAGAGCGAGTACTAGAGCAGTTGTAAGAGCTAACTTTAACTCTTGAAATGCCTGATCTGCTGATGTGGACCACTTGAATGCATCTTTCTTCAATAAATCAGTGAGTGGTGCAGCTATTTGAGCATATCCCTTAACAAAGCGACGATAATAACCTGTTAAGCCCAAAAATGCTCTTAACTGTTTTACTGTAGTAGGTTTCGTCCACTTAGTGACTGCTTCCAATTTCTCAATGTCCATCTTGACGCCATCTCCAGACAACGTATGGCCTAAATATCCAATCTGCTAAACTCCAAAAGTGCATTTGGAAAATTTAGCGAATAACTGATGTTGTTGTAGAATATTCAGTACTAATTCAAGGTGTTGCAAGTGGCTCTTCCAATTAGCGTTGTACACTAAAATATCATCAAAAAAAACTACTACAAATCTCCTCAAATAACCGCTAAAAATTTGATTCATAAGGCATTGAAATGTGGCAGGCGCATTTGACAATCCAAATGGCATTACGAGCCATTCATATAAACCTTGATGTGTACGAAAAGCCGTTTTATGTCGATCATCCGGATTCAACAATATTTGATGATATCCAGGCCTTAAGTCCATCTTGGAGAAGTAACGAGCCCCATAAAGTTCATCAATCAATTCATCAACTGTTGGAATAGGAAAACTATCCTTAATTGTAATAGTATTTAATGCTCTGTAATCATTGCATACTCTCCATGATCCGTCCTTCTTCTTGACCAAAATGATTGGAGAAGAAAAGGGGCTGTTGCTAGGCTGAATCAGACCCTCGGTCAACATGTTCTCAACCAACCTTTCGATTTCCTCTTTTTGGCTATGCGGATACCGATACGGTTTCACCTTAACTGGGTTTGATCCTTCAATCAAAGGAATTGAATGGACTTGGGACCGACTAGGAGGTAATCCACAAGGGTTAGAGAAAACCTTGTTGTAAGTGTGTAATAACAATGCTAACTCCGGTTCCATGTCATCCGGTAATTCCAATAAAGGAAACGAGTGAATTTCCTCTTGTATCAGTTGCATACTATACACTTCTGCGATCGCATCTTTATTCATCATTCTTCTTATCTGATGTAATTGAACCTGTTGCATACTAGTATCATCCTCACCTTGTAACATAGTAAATTTCCCTTGATGTAGGAACTTGATTTGTAAAGAATTATAATCAGCCAAATGAGGACCAATAGTCTTTAACCATCTGGCTCCTAATATGAGATCTGCACCCGAAATTGGCAATAGAACAACTGGTAAAGTGAACACATGACCTTGTGCCTTCACTCGTAGTTGTTGAATCATTCCCTCTGCTTGCATGTAATTGCCGTTACCCACCATTACCTTAAAACTTGGGCCTGTTTCCACTGGAAGTTGCAAAAACTTTGCTACTCGTGGTTGCAAAAAATTGTTTGAGCTTCCACCATCAATCAATACTTTAACTGGCATGGAACCAACATGAGCCACAAATTTAATGGTTCCCACTCCTAAGCCCCCTTTTAAAGCATTAAGAGACAAATGGTGGTCATCTGTCTCTACGACTTCAGATGCACTGGACTGCTCTTCCATAACTGCCACGGTATCCACCAAATCATCTTCAGCTAACTGTAACAAATTTAGTTGTCGGTTGGAACACTTGTGATTAAATGAGAATTTCTCATCACAAAAATAGCATAAACCCTTCTCACGTCTGAGTTGCATTTCCGCTGGACTGATACGTTTTACACTGGTAGTCCTGAAAGGTGGTCCTGGAGATCTGGGTAATAACGGTGGTAACAGAGACTTTGTGTTAGGAATGATGGTTTTAAGAGCCTTGTTAGTCACTGTTGCATTAGCAGAGGTAATGGGAAAAGGTTGGGTATACCTGGAATTATACGTCTCTTGTGATGATACATTGGGCTGATATTTATCCTCGTAAAGCTTAGCCAAAGCCACCGCTCTTAATAAAGACTGTGGAGATAAAGCCATAACGTCTCGTTTAATATCCACGTTTAAACCGCTGATGAAACAAGTCAAAATAGCTTCCTCAGTTAACCCTTCAGATCTATTTGCCAATGACAAAAACTTCATATAATAATCTGACACTGAACCTTGTTGTTGCAACTTGAACAATTCTGCCATGGGACAGTCAAAAGGGGAAGGTCCAAATTGAGATTCCAAAGCTTTTGTAAGAGCTGCCCATGTGGTCACGGCATCAATTTTTTGGAGCATCTGGAACCACGGAACAACCTCCTTCTCGAAATGCATTGATGCAATTTCAACACGATCAGCATCTGGAGTGTTGTGGTAGGAGAAAAATTTGTCTGCTTTGAATATCCAGTCTAACACTGACGCAGACCCATCGAAATGGGGAAACCCCAAAGAAATATCTCTATTGGATGAAATTGTCGTAATAGGAGTAACCTTTATCGTGGACCCTGAGTTCGATGAACTTCCATGATTGTTTGCAGAATTTAATAACAATTGTTGCAACGATGCTTTAATTTCCTGCATCGTCGATTCTTGTGGTTGATTCTTCGCCTCCATTGATTTTTGAAGTTTTTCGACTGTTACCGCTAACCGACGAATATCTTCGGCATTCGTACGAATTTCTGACTGCATTTCTTTCATTCTCATGTGTTCCGCCATGGAAGTCAATGAAAGCA